ATTTTTTGTAGATACTGATTAGGGTGGTTTCTCTATTAAGGTTGTTTTTGAGTTTTTTTTTTTTTTTGTAGATACTGATTAGGGTTGGTTCTCGTATTAAGGTTGTTTTTGAGTTTTTTTTTTTTAGTTTTGTGTAGATACTGATTAGGGTTGGTTTCTCGTATTAAGGTTGTTTTTGAGTTTTTTTTTTTTTTTTAGTTTTGTGTAGATACTGATTAGGGTTGGTTTCTCGTATTAAGGTTGTTTTTTGAAGGGTTGTTTATTTTTGTGGATGTGCTTGAAGTAGTTTTGATGTTGATTTTGCTTGATTTGAATATTTTGTTTTTATCGGTATCGATATTAGATTATCATTATTGTTGTTTTCATTTTGTTTATTGTTGTTGTATTGTTATTAACGTTTTTATCAGTTATTATCGTTATCATTATAACCATAAACACAATCATTAAATGTTATCATTGCAGCTATTAGTAAGCTTTATATAACGCACTTGCTTTACGTGTTTGAAGGTGGGAAGAGGGTCGAAATCTCCCTCCCCTCCCCCCCTCCCCTCTTCCCCTGCCTCCCTCCCCTTTCCCCCCCCCCTCTCCATGGTTTGGATAATAACCAGTTTTTGGCGTTCCTGCATTACTCAAGTTCCTTCTGCCTTTTGTCCCGGGCGTGAGAAGGCTTATGTAAGTCTTTTTTCCCCCCTTTCCTCCGTCTCTCGTTCTGTTTTGCGCGTCGCCTCCGAAAGGGGAAGGGGAAGGCGTGGGAAGGAATGCGGTGCGCTGTGCTGGTGTTTATTGTTATGTATTATGTGCGTTTTGTCGCGTTTTGTCTTGTTATGTCAGTAGGGGTCTTATGCCTGTGGGGATATTGAGGCTAAGTAGGGTGAGTTTAAGCGGAAGTGTTGATTTGGGGAAAATGCGGAGGAAAGGGAGGGAATGTATTAGTAGAGACAGAAACAGGGAAACGAGAGGTGGCAGCAGTGATGGTGGCAGTGATAATGGCAGAGCTAATGGAACCGCTAATGGGAAGATGGATTAGAATCAGTGCCTTTGGAGGAAAAGCGTAGACTTCTTCGTCATGAAAAGGCCATTTGAACGTCATCCCAGCAAAGGAAAGGCGAGGAATCAACGAGGGAGCAGCGGCGGCGGCGGCCCAAGGAGCGTCCGGCGGCGCCCAAGGCAGGGAGAGCGAGCGTGCGCGTCGCCACCAGCCTCCGCGGCAATTCTACTTGTCTACCAGTCTACTCGATCCTGGTAGACTGACTGCCGAACCCCTTTAAGGAACGAGGCTCCAGCGGGGGTCGCGTGTCGTCTGGAAAATTGAGGAAAATTGAAGATTGACGTGATTTTATTTGAATGGCAAATTATGTCGTTCGGATGGCATATGGCACAGAGACTTTCATTCTGACACTGAGCGACGATGGCTGAGTTCCTGTTGTATGGATTGGCTGAGTCCGTGGTAGATTCAGAGGGAAAGAATATAGAATAATGAATCTAGGCTTCCCATTAGAGCATATTGATGATCATTTTAGATAGTTAACCAAAGTATGTTATTAATTCAATGGCTGATTTACATCTCATAAAGGTGGCAAGTGTTCTTAGTAATTGGATAGGGGAAGTAGATGATTGTTTACCGACTCATTTACAGTGCCATTAGCTTGTTATATGCGAAGTAATAAAGGTTTAATTTATTTGCGTCTTAAGTGGTGCGTAAATCTTGCTGGGGGCCGTGTGAAAGTGGGCGAATTTGTCAGTCTGTCCGCCCCCCCCCTCTCTCTCTCTCTCTCTCTCTCTCTCTCTCTCTCTCTCTCTCTCTCTCTCTCTCTCTCTCTCTCTCTCTCTCTCTCTCTCTCTCTCTCTCTCTCTCTAGCTCTAGCTCTAGCTCTAGCTCTAGCTCTATCTATGTATCTCTCCCTCAGTCTGTATTTCTCTGTCTCTGGAGAATGAGGAAAAGGAAGATCAGGAAGAGAATGAAGAAGGAGAGAACAAAAAGAAGGAAGAAAGAACCAATGCAAAGAATTTTAAAGAAAGAATGAAGGAAAAGACGGTGAAATAGGAGGAGGAGGAAGAAGAAGAAGAATTTAGAAAAGGGGAGGAGAGGAGGAGAGGAGAGAAGGAGCGCGGTGAAAGGGTAGGTCCAAAGGAGGAAAGTCGAGCCCGCATAATTAACACGTCAGAGATGATGCAGCATCGACCTGGGATGTCTTGGGGCGGGGGTCGTCGGAGGGTGGGGTATGAGGGGAAGGGACGAAGCTCATCTGCATATCACCTGAAGGGAAAAGCGCCTTGCAGGGTCACGGCTGTTAGGCGCGCCTCCCGTGTCACGCCAAGGAGCCCTTTGCGAAGTCGCTGAAATTCCTCGAGGGGGAACGTGGAACAACTCTCTTTTGTAACTTCCTCGGTGGGAACGGCTCTCTGGAGTTCGGCTTATGTAATGTTCGACATATGAGGTCACGCTAAGCCCTTCGCATTGCGGGCTGGTGACTGTTCTGTCACGTAATAGCTGTTTTGCGGGTAATGTGTCATGCGTCTCTCTCTCTCTCTCTCTCTCTCTCTCTCTCTCTCTCTCTCTCTCTCTCTCTCTCTCTCTCTGCTCTCTCTCTCTCTCTCTCTCTCTCTCTCTCTCTCTCTCTCTCTCTCTCTCTCTCTCTCTCTCTCTCTCTCTCTCTATCTATATCTATCTATTTCTTTCTTCTTCATTCCCTCTCTAGCTCGATCACTTGTTTAATCTTTTATTTTTAAGCTGCTTTCTCTCTCTCATTCTCTTTTTTTTCCTCCCTCCGTCTTCCCCTCTTCCATTGGATAAAAGCCCAGGAATATATTCAGGCGCATACATCGTCCAGCAGATTGTGAAAGGCGTCTATGGCGGCGTTAGTGGCTCGGGAGTCGTACCATCGCGTAACACGGCTCCTGCTCGCGATAACGGCCTCCGCGACCATCTGTGTGGGACTCTCGCTGGACTAACGGAGACGCGAAGGAACGCAGTAGCGAGAAAACTATTTCACTTTGGAACGCTAAATCCGTCGAGATAAAGAGAGGGGGAGGAGGAGGAGGAGGAGGAGGGAGAAAAAAAGATGAAGACAAAATTGGATCTCCGAGAAAAAGTTATGTTCATGTCTGGATCAGATGTAATTTGTTTGCGATGCGATCTTGATCTTGTTCCTCTGGCGGAGTGTGGTCGTAGAGGTCGTCGCCGCCACGACCCTTTCTCCTGCTCGTACTCGTGCTTGTTCAAGTATTTATCCATCTGTTTAGTTTTGAATTTGCTTGTTTGTTTATTTATTTGTTTTAAAGCAAAAAAAAAGTTATCCAAACGAGGGAGAGAGGGATTGAGTTTTGTTTTAAAGAATGTTTAATCTCCTGCTTGTACTCTTGGTCGACTTTTTATACATTTACCTGGTTTGGGCCACTTTGATTTACTGCTGCTCTTGTTTTATGTCTTCCAGTTATTGTTTATAATACCTTTTCATGTCTCTAGTTCAGTTAACGTTTTGGAATGTTGTGAGATAAATGTTTCGATACACGATGAACCGTTAATGGAGATTGACCCTGCGACGTGTTAAAATTCCAGAATGATGTCGACAATTTGAAGCGATTTGTTCCATGATTGACTTACGGTTCTCAGCATGGCACAGTGCCTGGCGGGGCTCTATTTGGCCGGGCGGTGGTAGTGTCATGCAGGAAATCAAGAGGTCATAGGTCAGGGGCTGCATGATACAAGGATGACGTGCATAACACCGCCAAAGAGCTTGTAAGATGCCGTGAAATTACCGCCACACGCATGACCAGTTTCGCAGGTGTAGTTGCAAGACAGGTGTTCGTCTCTTCGTCATAAGTAGGGTGTAAATGATTCAGTTTGCCAGGTCGCGTCATCCGTGTCGCTGCTTTGTTAGGTGCGTATCATCAACAGCGTTACAAAGTGCAGTGGAAAAGCTACGTGTGTGTAGCGAGGCGAGGCTGACTACTTCTTTTTTCGTTCGGGTTTTTCTCTCTCCGGCTTTCCTCTTGTATTTCACGTAGGCTACATGGGTTTGCTTGTCTGAATCATCTTGTTTCTTTCTCTCATTTCTTGTGCCGTTGTCATTGTGTTTCGTCATTGTGCAGAACTATCAGAACTATTTGCGGGCCACGTTTCCCATGAGAGAACGTTCCGAGCTATCAGAACTACCATCGGGCCGCTCCTTCCGCCCGGCAGTGCCTCGCGTCCCCAAGGGAGGTGGCTGGTAGCGGGCGGGAGGCTGGGCTTGTTGTTTGTAAATAAGCTTGTAGCCTGCGGTGGCCGGTGGGTGTCCAGCGGGTGTCCACAGGGTGTCCCAAGTTTGCCCATTTGGGTGACCGCGCTAATGGGGGCGAGAAGGAGGGATGTTTTGGTGTTTCTTTCCCCCGGTGTCTTTCTGGTTGTCCATTTGTCTTGATTGCGAATCGTGTGAGTTTACAAGTTGTGATGATGCCGGGATATGTTTAGACGTTTGTGTGGTGAGAATGTTTTGTGTGTGTCTTTGAATAAATATACCAGATAGAGAAAAGTCGAGATGGGATTTAGAATTATAGATAGAATCTATAGATTTAGAATCTAGATAGGATTTAGAAATGTATTTCTTATTCTGATTATTTTATTTACCCTGTATTTTATTAATGGAATGTAAAATGAATGGAAAACATTATCCTAACGTCCCTGTTCTCTCTTTCCAGCGAGGTGAAGATGTCGGAGTAGAAGGAGGGGCGAGGACCTCCACCAGTGACCGGCGCCCCGTCACCTCCGCCGCCGCCTCCCCCACCACCACCAAAGCCTCCCCCCGGACAGTACCCCAGGAGTGTCTGGTTCCCCAGCACCGCGGGAGAGCCAGCCTCCTCCCCCATCGCCACCGCTATGGGCCTCCACCACCATCTGTGAGACCTTCACCTCCCCACTACTATAGCCGCAATTACCCCCCAGCCCCCCAGTGCACGTTGACCCCCCCACCCAGGGCCCCCCAGCCGTCTGAACGCCCTCCCACCTGTTGTGTAAACAC